AGTTCAGAGAGAAACAAGGAAGATCAGCCTGGGCTTTTCTTCTACTATATATAGCTTCTGGAATATGTCTAAAGAAATCCAAGGAGACCCTGGGAACTATGAACTGAAAAATAAGCAAACAAAACTTTCTTTCTCTCTCACACACTTTCTCTCTTACACACACATACACACACACACACAAAACACACAGATATACACTGTGCATGTACTTTCATGTGTTAGCAATTATTCATCCTTCAAAGCTCAACCTAATGATCCCTTCCCTGAGAAGCCTTTCTGACTCCCCAGGTGAGTTATACTTTCTCATGGAAACATGTCTCTTTCCTTCAGAACCTCTATTTCCGTGTATAATTCACTTAGTGTAATTATTTGATTAAAATCTATCTTGCCCTCTGGAATGTTAGCTCCGCAACTCTAAGGACCACTGCTTTTGCCCACCCAGTTATTTCTAGCATTTAACTCACTGCCTGGCAGATTGTAGGTGTTCCATAAATAGTGAATAAATGAACCCCTAGGCAAATTTCATCAATAGTTGCTCCGTACTTCAAGAGGAAGCCTGATATAGTAACAGAGAGAATGTTGGTTGGGGATTAAGGATTTCAGGGCTAGAAGCAATTAGCAGAGAACATTCATTATTCACTACCTCTACTAGCCGTACTGCATCCATATTCAAATACCTTCCCTTCCCTTCTGTGACAATGACTGGACTTTCTGGACTCTTAACTAAAGCCAACTCCTTCACTTTGTACTGGATCCCATCCCCTGTTGCCCACTTAATATATTCGCTCTCTTTCTCTCTCTCTCATGCATTATCAATTCTTCACTCTCTACTGCTCTGTCCATAGAATTTTCTATGATGATAGAAATGTCCTATAACTCTGCTGTTCAATATAGTAGCTATGAGCCACTTGTGGCTATTGAGTTCTTGAAATGTAGCTATAATCTGACTGATGAACTGAATTTCAAAATATTTATTTAATTTTAACTAATCCAAATTAAAGTCACATGTGGATAATTCCCATTAGCATCAAATTTGCTATTATTTCTCCCACCTTACAAAGAAAAAACAAACAACAAAACCTTTCTTGACTTCACACCCCCTTCTAGATACCACCCCATTGTTCTACTCCCTCCTTCACATATATATGCTTTAAAAGGTTTGTCTGTACTCCCTGTCTCCACTTCCCCTTCTTCTTAAACTCACTTCATTCAATCTTTTAACTTCACACAACATCAAAATGGCTCTGGTTAGGATCACCAGTGACCTCTGAATTGCCAAATCCTATGGTCAGTGTTGAGCACCCATTTTACGAAAACTAACAGCAGCATTTTATGTGGTTGATAATTCCCTCCTTGAAGGACATCCCTCACTCAGTTGGTTCTCCTCCTGCCTCTCTGGCTATTCTTTCTCAGTTTCCTTTGCTGGATTTTCATCTGCACATCTTGTAAATATTAAAATGACACAAGCCTCAGTCTTTGGAGCCCCTCTCTTTATCTACGTTTTCTTCCTAGATGTTTTCATCCATTTCTGTGGCTTCAAATATTAGGTACAGGCTGTAGGTTCCTAAATGTTATCTCTGTCTCTGACTTTTCGCCTGAATTTCAGACTTGTATGTCATATAGCCAACCCTTTACTCAAACTTCACATCTGGATATCTATCAGCACAAACTTAATATTCCAGAAGATAATTTTTTATTTCACCTTTTAAATGTGGTTCTCTACTTTGGGAGGCTGAGGCAGGAGGATCACTTGAGGCCAGAAATTCAAGACCAGCCTGGACAATATAACAAGATCCTGTCTTTACAAAGGAAAAAAAAAAAAATAATAATACAAAAAAGTCTGCTTCTCCCTTAGTCTTCCCCATCTTTGTAGTTGTTCAGGCCAAACACTATGGAATTATCTTTGACCCACAGCCTAACCATCAGTAAATCGTCTTGGTTCTACTATTCAAGTAGAGTGAGGCCCCTGACCCTTTCTCATCATCTCACCTTCACCTCCTTGTCTAAGCCACCACCATCTCTAGTCTGGATTATTGCAAGAGGCTCCTCTCTGGTCTCCCTACTTTTATTTGCCCTTATTCCTCTAAAATCTCCTCTCCAAGCAGTAGCCAGAGTGACCCTTTAAAAATGCAAATGGCTCATACCACAGCAGCACATCAAACTTTCCAGTGGTTTCCCCTCTCATTCTGAATCAAAGCCAAAGTCCTTACAGCTGCTACAACACCCTCCTGGATATGACCTGCAACTACCTCTCTGATCTCCAGGCCCACTCCGTACCCTACCTCCTATACCATTCCTCTCATCCACAAGGTCCTCCTCCTTACTGTTCTCTCAATGGGCTACACCTGTTCTTATCGCAGAGTTTTGGTGTTTGATATTCTCTAAGCCTGGAGCATTGTCGGGGGGGGGGTTGTTTTCTTTGTTTTTTTTTTTTTTCAGAAAATCTTCCTAGTTTCCTCCCTTCCTTTTTTCAGGTCTTTATTTAAGCGGTAACTCTTCAGAGAAGTTTGTTTTTTCCTTTCCCCCACCCATCCTATCAAAAATAGCAACTCGTCTCTCCTTGTTGACACCCTCAGTCTCTTACTCTGACTCATTTTGCATCACAGTTCTTATCTGTCTTCCCAAACTAAACTTTGGGGAGGTTACTCAGAGTCCAGACTTGGTCTGTTTTGTTCTCTGCTGTATCCCCAGAATATCAACTAGTGCTTGTCACTGAGTATGTGTTCAATAAGTGTTGGATGAGGAATGGATAGCAGTTAGGGTCCAGCAGGGTGTTGTAGCAGCTGTAAGGACTTTGACTTTGATTCAGAATGAGAGGGGAAACCATTGGAAAGTTTGATGTGCTGGTATCATATGAGCCATTTGCATTTTTAAAGTGTCACTCTAGCTACTGCTTGGAGAGGAGATTTTAGAGGAATAAAGGCAAATAAAAGTAGGGAGACCAGAGGGGAGGCTCTTGCAATAATTATATTCCTAATGCTCAGTAGCATAACCCAGAGGAAATCATTGAAACTTTTCTAGGAGAGGTTCAGTCCCCTCATTTCTCAAAGAAGTGAGCTAGGTAGTTTCAAAATACATATTAATTCCACAAATATTTAATGCAACCCACTATGTGCCTGACACTGGACAGGTGTTTCAGTAACAATAAAGGATCACAATCCCTGATCTCAAGTAGTTTGTTGTCCAATGGGATAAATAGCTATATGGGAAATCACCGTGGAGGGCTTCCAGAGCAAGGTGATGGATAAGGCGCAGCTAGGTGGAGAGGGGGTGGAGCCTGTTCCTGGCTTCCCACCTGTGCGTAAGGAACTTTTCCAGTCTGTGAGCATTGCGAAGGCAGGGGCGGGTTTAACTTGCCTGTTTTCTCCCTAGATTTAGCTGCAGATTGTTAATGACATCGTTACCTTACCTGCTTACAAGTTTACTGGAGGGAGAAAATGTGTTCAATTCCAGCTTTAAAACTATAGGAACTTTGTTCGACTCCATCTACTTCATAAAGCGAGGCACTGCGTATGTACTTAGGGTTTGATCTGCGTATTCTTTACACTGTTCGCAGGCGCCAATAACACAGATCACATTTAACCTTGGAGGCCCACTGCACAGCGCAAAGGTCCTCCACGTTTGCTCTGGCCCACACTTCTGAGAGCTGTGGCACGTTCCTACCCGTGAGCGCCGCAACTTCCGCGCTGAGCAAGAACCGCTGGACGTCAGCTGCAACGCTCGGGAAAGAGCACTGTCCCACTCTGGGATCTTCATGGTCGGCTCTTCTCGAGAGTTCTCGGGTGTTCTCACTAGTTGGCCCCCCGCAATGCCCCGCGCCAACCTGGGCGGAGTCGACCTCTTGAGACTCTACCAACTAAAAAGTGCAGGGGTGGAGTGACTAAACATGATAACATGACGTACGTGAGACGAAAAATGAAACCACTTAGATAAAAAATAAAGAAATATTGTTGATCTAAATATCTATTTTTTGGGGCTCCATTTTTCTTAGAGCAGTAGGTTTTTCCACCTTCCAGCCTAACATAATTCTTGCCTCCCCCTATGTATGGCGCTCCCGGCCTTTGGTCTCTTCCGCGCCGGGCGACCCGGCAGTCACGTGCTCCTCCTGTCCTTCTGGCGGAACGTGCATCCCGCTGTGGGGACAGCCGAGCAATGGCAGCACTGCTGAGACCCGCCCGCTGGCTCCTCCGTGCCGGGTTTGCCCCGCAACTCCCGCTCTCCCTGCGCCTCTTAGCGGGCGGCCCAGGGCGGCCGCACGCTGTCCCCTGTCTGCCGGCCGCTCGCGCCGGGTCCGTGGCCGGGTGAGTGTCCAGGCCCTTCTTCCTGCCAGGCTGCAGCGCGGGGGGTCGTTGGCCCTGTTGGAGCCTGGGAGTCGCTTGTGATCTCTTCACGCTCCTCGCTGCCCCAGGAGCAAGCATCCCCAGGCTTCGGACTACGCTCCCCATTAGGGGTTTTCGGGTTACAGGGTCAAGCACCTGCAGAAGGTCATGGCTGCGGGCATGGATTGCTTCCGGCATGAATCCTGCCTTTGCTACCTCGGACTGGGTCCTCCTACCCTTGGGCTACCGACGACCAAGGAAGCTGAGGAGGGCTTTGAAGGTTGCTGTGGGGGTCGGGCTGTATTCTCCTTACGCTTGGCGGGCTTGGGTGGTGTCCCACGTGGGCTCATGGGATCAATGTTGGTGATCAGTAACCGTCCAGTATTTAAATTTTAAGGGCTTTAGTGTTTTTGGGGGGCGTGGGGAGGGTTGGGAGTTTCGGGTGAGGTAGCGATAGCTTAGAATTGGGCATTTGATTATGATCAATTTGGGCTTTTGCCTGCACTTTCTTGGATGGAGTTTTCCTTTGATATTTGATATTTACGAAGGTGTCGTATGAGTTGGGAATTGTTACTGGAGGATCTGTAAGTGTCATTGAATGAGTAAGTAAACACATACAGGGGACTCTGTTGGGATCCGGGGATGCAAAGACAAGTTAAACTCTCAGTAGGATAGTTTGAGATTTATCAGGAGGTAGGTTTTTTGTTTGTTTTATTTTTTTCCGTGTAACCTAGAAAGGAGGTAGGTTTGGTATAGACTTTTGTGGGGAGGGAATAAGGAAGTTATCCTGGGTTCCATTTATTTGCTGCTGATGAAAGTGTTAATTTGAGTAGTAGTCTGACGACTAGAGAAGTGGAGGTGGGTGCTGAGGTTTAGCGTTGGAGAAGAACTGATTTTGAAAGACTAATGCTTATAATTAACGGTACTTTGGGAGCTAGCATAAGGACTAAGAACCAAGGATCTGGAATAGGCTGGGGCTGGACTGTGTACTCTTCAATTTGTTTGCATTATGCCATCGAGCAAGTTACTTAACATCTTCAGGCCTCAGTTTCCTTGGCTATAATATGGGAGTGGTAATAGTATTGTTAGGAGTATTGCATGAAATTGTATTAAGCACTTAATATAGGGCTTTATACCATAATAAGTGCTTCGTTAGTTACTATAATAGTAATAATAATAACTATGATTATATGGACCTTTGTAGACCAGCTTGGAAACTTAATCTCTGCATAAAGTAATATGAAGGAAATGTTTTATGATTTCCTAACAGTTTAGTTATAAATCTTTGGAATGTAGCCTACTTATAATTTGGAGCCTGCCTGTGTTTTATTAGGCCTGGACAGTTAACCTTCAGAAATCCTGCCTCTGAGCACAGAACCACATCTCTGGGATTTCAAAGAGTTTCTTTTGAGAAAGTTGTGCCAATTACTCTTATTTTTCTAGTCCTTAACATTCCTGTGAGGTTAGAATAGGGTCAATGTTACTGTCCATCTTCACTGTTGCATTTGAAGAAAACTGAATAAAGAGAGAACACAGTTTAGTAGAAAGGGTATTGGTCTGAGTGTTAATCAGACCTGGGTTCCATTTATTTGCTGCATAATCTTAGACATTTTGCCTAACCTGTCTGATCCTCAGTTTCCTTATCTGTAAAGCAGAGATAACAAGGCCTTTCCCCCTTATCTTTGTAAGTCTGAAAAATGACATTGCCCTATTTTAGTTTTATCCATGGCATGTCTCACTTGTCTGATATTATTACTTATTTATTTTCTCCCTGTTTGTTTTCCTTAGTACAGGGACCCCAACCTATGGTGAGTTGTATAATACTTAATTATATGTTACAATGTAATAATAATAGAAATAACATGCACAATAAATGTAATGCACTTGAATCATCCTGAAACCATCACCCCCCTCCCACCCCCCTCCGTGGAAAAATTGTGTCTTCCATGAAAATGGTCCCTGGTACCAGAAAGCTTACTGTCTGCTCTCTTAGCAGACAGTAAGCTACATGAGAGGAGGATTTTGTCTTGTTCACCACTATATGCTCAGGTTATAGCTGGCAACAAAGAAGTATTTGTTCCCTCTTTCTCCTGAATTTTGAACACTTTCTCTGTACAATCTCCTACCCCACAGCCTGTAAGCATGCCCAGATCTTTCGTACCTGAAAAACAAAACCTTTCCAGGACTCTATATTTACTCTAGAATCTTCCCAGTCTTTCTTCCTTGTCCATACTCCTGTCTCCTTCATTTCCTCACTTTTCATTCACTCTTTTAGCCACTGCAGTCATACCACTGGCAAAGGCCATCATTGTCTTATTTATTTATTAATTTTTTATTGTATTTTTAAAAAATTATAAAACTCACATGCCTTGAGGAACAATTGCAAAACCAAGGAGAAAAACAATAAAAAAGCCCCCTAATTCTGTCATCCAGAGATCCTTTGATAGATATCCTTCTAATCACTTATGTATGTGTAAGATGCATGTTTATTTAATTTTTCCAAAGGACCTCTGAATTACCAAATAAACTTTTTAGGCCTTGACCTCTGGCATATTACTGTATCTTCCATTTTCCCCTTCATGAAACTCTTTTCTTGACATTAATGATGCTACCTTTCTAGATGGTCTTCTCTTTAGGATTTTTCTCACTCACTTCATTCCTCCTTCCTCTGTTCATCCTTTAAATGCTGATGTCCTTGGGAATTTTACCCTTGGTCTGTTTCTGTTTTCTCATTTTTTCATTCTCTTTTGGGTGACCATCTTCAGGGCATTATCCACCTATCTGGTGATGGCATTGTTCTCCTCCTAGGTATAGACTGTCTACTAGACACATGCTACCTGGTTGAACTGTAGGTACCTCATACTCAACACTTCTGCAGTTGGACTCAAAGATCTTTCTTCCCAAATCTGTTCCTCTTGTGTTCCCTGTTTTAGTGAAAGTTGCTATTTCTATCTGCTTTTCAGAAGGAGCCTGGGCACCTTCATGCTTGATTTCCCATTCATGTCTCACTCCCTCTACCCCCCATTTATCGATTGCACAAATCGTTAGTCCTATTAGATCTGCTTCATTGGGAATGACTCCCCTTTTCCTCTGACCCTGATCATCATTCTCTAGTTTCCCTGGTAATTTGATCATGTCATTTTCCTATTTATAATTAACTGTGGTTGCTCCCATTTGGTCCAGGATAAGGTCTAGACACTTTGTTTAGTACATGTGTTTTATGAGCTGGAGGTAACTCTGGAGCCTCACCTCTTATGAGTTCCTTCCCGTGGCATCCTGTATCTAGCTGTACCAAACTACTACTTTGAAGTCGTCTATAGCAGGGCTTCTCAAACTGTGATGAGAATGATTCCCTGGGGTTAAAATGCAGATTCTGATTTTGTAGGCTGAATTAGGAGACTGAGATTCTGCATTTCTAATAAGCCTTTAGATAATAAAGGTGCTGCTAGTCTGTGGATCATCAAGGCTCTGATGGGCCAAATTGTACATCTCGTTGCCTTTGGGTGTGATGTTGACTCTTGGGATGTGTCTCCTCACCCCCCCCCCGCCCCCACTCATGTTGCCTCCTCTTCCTCCTCTGTTAACCGTACCTAACTGCTTCTCCCATTTGACTGCTCCTTTCTTGTTCCTCCTGTTAGACCCTGCATCACTAAAGCACCCATTAACACTATTACCTGTAACACTCCAGAGCTCGCTGTAAGCTCCTTGCAGCAGAGACTTTGTCTTATTCTTCTTGCTTCCCCTCGTATCTGACTTCGCGGCACATAGTGGGTGTGAAATATTTGTTGAGTAAATTAATGAAAATCTTAGACATTGAGGAAGGAATATGGTGAGATGCAAAGAAGATTGAGGGGGTACTGAACCCATTCATGTAGTGCAGTGTGTCTCCACAAATTCACCCTGACCTTGATTTCCAGGAATGTCCTGTCTGAGAAGGACAGAGGAGTATTATTGAATGAAATTATTAGAATTTATTAATGTATTTTCAAAGTGTACACTTTTCTTTTGTATTGTTTAATTCTTTTCTCATGTCAGTGCTTTATTTTTCAAATAAATGCTTTCTTAAAAACAAGCTCTTACCCTATTCTCTGTGAAGAGGTAAACACTCTTGCTGTCTCACACACTTTTTCCCTCACATTTCTGGATCAGAAGCTGCTTATATATTTTTTGTGCAAGTTTTTAGAATAATACTTGTGTGCCTCAGAGGAAAGATAAACTTTGAGCTAAATCTCTTTGGAAGTGGATCTAATGGACTAATGATTGACCTGAAGGTGAAAATCATACAGTGCTCTTTGACAGAATGGTGTGACTTATTTCTAAAGTAGGAAGAAAAGAAAACTTCCTTTTGTTTACCTGTCATTTTAGAAAAATCTCATCAAATTTATTAAGAGTCTGTCTGGGTCCTTTGGAGTTTGGACATTGATGAGATTCAGTTTCTGACCTGTGTATATAAGTTTATCAATCACAGAAGGCTATGACAGGCACATGTGTAATTATTATATATGTGCTGTCCATAAGAGAGAAATATAATACAGTGGTACTTCAGAGAGAATAGCAATCACATTTGTTTTGTGGTCGGGGGACATTTGAGTTTTAGAGGACACATGGTGATGGGTGTTCAGAGTGTTCCACAAGTCGAGAAGAACATGAAGAAAGCTGGAGACCATGCTTTTATTCTGTGTGGCTGGGTGGGATGTGGTGGAAGTTGATACTGCGAAGTCCAATTGATTCCTTGAAGCTGCCAAAATTGGCTGGAAGGTAGGCTGGTTAATGATTGGAAGCCATTGGAGGATTTTCAGGTAGATTTTGACAAAGTTTGCAGACTGTAGGAGGGATGGAGCCTGGGGATGGATGGACAGGAACAGCATTGGTACTCTGGATTAGGAATAACAGGGCTTCAACTATATGGCGTAGATCTGAAGGAAAGATACTTCCGTCTCGGGAGAAAGAGAAGTTCAGTGAGAGTGTTAGCAGAATTAGGA